AAAAAATGAAAGTGAATCTTTACAGAACTAAAAAAAAAAGAGCATTTCAGGTAGAAAGAATAGCCAATTTAGAAGGTCTGAGGATAGGATGGGCTTGACATATTTGAGGACCTGAAAGGAGATCAATGTGACTGAAACCCAGTTACAGAATATAGTTATCTTGCCAGGCATGGTTCATGGACACCTCGTCGATGCCATAAAAATTTAAACAGCTATTTTGTTCCACTACAAAAGAGGGAGATGTGTCTTGTACCATCACGAATAATGGGAACTTGGGGATTTGTTTACCAATCCACAAAGAGGGGACACCTGATGAATGAGTTCATCTTGAGCACAGCACTCAATATTATCTGCTTTAGTCCACATTTATCACTATTAAAGCAATTGATGTCCAAATACCATCAAAATATCATCAACTGAAAGGACAAAATGAATGGTATCTCTTTCATCCACTGTTATGAAAGAAGTGGATGATCCCTCTAGCCAATGAAATACCCTGGGTTGCCCAATTTTCGTTGATTGATAATACTAAAGTATTTAAAAATAATTTTAAAGGATCTTCAGAGGATTACAGTGACAACTTCTAAAAACCCTTTATAATTCAATCAATCTATCAACAAATGTTTAATTTGCTTCTATTATACTAGGCATTGTGGAAAAGGATGCAAAGTAACCAAAGGCAAAGCTTCTATCCTTAAGGAATTTACAACTTACAATAGAGAAAAGATATATCAAAAAAGTAGTATAGTAAGTACAAAATTCTGTTGTATAACTTAGATAGCTCTAGCAATTCAGGAGGAAAAGAGCATTTTAGGGTTTATGTTAATTACTTACGTTTTCCTATTGTCTATGCTTGGCATATATGAGGTAGATTTTTCATTTCAAGAAATGAAATATAAAATTAAATATAAAATGAATTGGCAATAAGAAATGGTGGAGGTGCATCTCAAGGCAAGGGACACTCAGGATCTTATGAATGAGTGCTAATAAATGTTATATAGTGAGAGAAGATGGAGGTAGGGTGTGTAAAGGAATATCATAACAGTTTGTAGAGGACATGACTGGCAAAATTAAAATATTGGATTTGATTTAAAAAGTAGTTCTAGGTTTCTGATAAAGAGAGAAACATGATACAAAATGGCATTTTAAAAAATTTCCCCAATAGTTGTGTTCAAGGGAAAAGAAACAGAAGACAAAAGGTCCAGTTACAAATCAGCATTTTTAGAATACCATGAAGCATTAAGAAAGAAGAATTCATATATATATATATAAAGTTAGACATAAGTTAAAGACTTTGTAAGGTCAGTAGATGATACTAGTAAGAGGATGTATAATGAGGTTCCCAAAGTCTGTTGTGCATTTGAGAAATCCAAGGAGCATCCCTGTCTGAAATGCTCTCGTGTGTTGCTTGAACATGTATAGACCAGACACTTTCCTGCCTGAGGCATCTACACTTGCTGTTCCTTCTACCAGAAACACTCTCTCCCAAATACATCTCCCTTACTCAGTCTTCCATTCAAAAGTCACCTTCCTCATGAGTCTTTCTAGACTACCCTATGTGAAGTTGTAGCCACCTGGAACTCCCCAGTCTGCCTCTACTTTATTCTACTTCATAGCATTATCATCTCATATTCTATGTATTTGTTTATTAACTATTTACTCCAGTTAGAATATAATCTCTATAAAGCGAGGGATTTTAATCTGTTCATGTTTTACCTGCAATATCTAGAAGATAGTAGATAATAATCAAATCAATTTTTTGGTGGAGACACAAAAAAATAGAATTATTCCTTTCAGTAAATAAAATTGTAATAAAAATCTATTACCAGACTTGCAAAGTGATCACATCAAAGCACATTCTAGTAGCAATCTGAGACTCAACACTGTAAATCTGCAAACAACTGCTCACAGACTTAATTGAATTAAGCAAGCAAGTGCTACTTATACCTCTGACTAGAGACTAATTGATTTGAAAAACAAAACAAGCAGCTGTTTAAATTAATTAATTTTCATTTTTAAGATATCTGAGACTAATAATATTTATGAATAAAAACATACTCTGTGTCTCATTTAATCGTGTCAATTCTTAATTCCATGTGTGGAAAAGATATAAGCTTTCAGTTCATAATCATAAAATCACAACAGCATTGTATTATCAGTCAACAGGCAACACTTCCTGACTGCTCCCATAGAGGGCATTCTTCCTGGGGTCATAACAGAATAGTAACTAGACACAGACATAAAGAGTTTAGAAGCAAGATTGCTGATATTAAATAGAAAGACAGATATCTGCAAACTAATGCTCTCAGTCTAGCAGAGAACTATGAAGTAGTATTGTCAGGCACCATCACAGCATGCTCTCAAGTGTCAAAGCCACTGGCCAAACAAGCAAGTTTCAGGGAGCTGTCCAATGTACCATCTCTCAGCGTGTCTTGTGAAATCAAGTCACAGGCTTGTTCCACTTCTGGCAGTTCACTTACCCTCATCCCCTAGACTGTTCTGTTAAATGAGAGCTTCTAGCCATATGTGGTTATTTAAATTGATTAAACTCTATTGAATAGCAGTTTAGTTACAGACTTATGTTTTCAACCAACATAGACTAGCAGGGAAATAGATTTATCTTCCCAGCTGAAGCAAACATAAAATGGACAAAACATAAGAAACGATGCTTTTTAAGGCACTAGGCAATTCAAGTGAGAAGACAGTGAAGCAAAGCCTTTAAAATATTGAAAGGAAAAAAATGGCCAACATAGAATTATGTACCCAGCAAAAACACCTTTCAAAAGTGAAGGCAAAATAAAGTCTTTTCAGCATATGTTAAAGCAAGTCCTTCAGGCAGAAGGAAAATATACTAGATGAAAATATAATCTATACAAAAGAATGAAAAGTAGTAGAAATGATAACTACAGGGGTAAATATGTCTTTTTCTCATCATTTAAATATCTTTAAAAATAATTGAATTTCTAAATAAATTAATAGCAAGTTAGTGTGGTGTTTTATCATATATATATAAAAAATGAAAATGTAAGACAAACAATAGCACAAAGGATAGGAGTGGAGAAAAGGAAATATTTTAAGTCCCTTACGATTATTGAATCACTTAAATGACAGATAAAAGTTGTTTACTGTTGGGCCTCCCTGGCGGTGCAAGGGATTAAGATGCAACCTATGAAGCTGTCCACAGCCACTGCAGCATGAGTTTGATCCCTGGCCAGGGAGCAACCCACATGGCACAGTAGACCTCTCCTGACTTGCCTGCTGCTCCCCTCAGCAGTGTACTTTGGTCAATCTGCCTGTTCTGTTCCCCACTCTGTCTCTGGTGAATCCTCTCACCCTCTGCACCTCTGGCCTGTACCCCAGCTCTTGTATGCATAAATAAAAATAAATCTTAAAAAAAGTTGTTTACTATAGAATATCAAGTATTAACTATAGTAAGAAAAAAATCGCTTGTAAGATAACAAAGGAGAGAATACCACAAAATATGTAATTACTCCAAAAGAAAAAAGGAAACAGCACATAGGACAAATAGAAAATAAATAGCAAGATAGTAGGTATACACCTAACCAAATCAATAATTCCATTAAATTGAAGTGATGGGAACAATCCAATTATAATAATAATCCAGCATTATCAGAAAATATTAAAAAGCAAGAATCAAATATATGTTCTCTACAAGAAAAACACTTCAAATATAACTACACAAATAGGTTAAAAATAAAGGAATAGGAAAGAATATACTATTCTAATACTAAATAAAGGAAAGGTAGGGTGGCTTTCAAAGTCTGAAACAAATGAGACTTCAAGCAAGAACTATTTCCAGAGATAAAACTGGCCATTTCATTAAAATAACTGGTTGATTCATCAAAAGGATAGAAAAATTCTGAACATTTATGCATCTAACAACAGAACTCCTAATATATGAACTGATGGAACTATAAGGAAAACTGAAGAAATTCACAATTACAGTTGGAGATTTTCATAGTCCTTTCTCAGTAATTGATCTAATAAATAAATCAATAAGGGTATAGAGTATTCAAATAATATTGCCAACCAGCTTGACATAATGAACAATTATAGAACAATCCTACCTCCAAAAACAAAACAACAGCAAAACACCATACATATACTTCTCAAGTACATATCAAACATTTACAAAGATAGGCCATATTCTGGGCTATTAGTTTTAAAAGATTCAAGTTATATAAGTGTTTTTTGAACCATAAAGGAATCACTAGAATTCAATGAAGAAAAAATTCTGGAAACTGCCCTATTTAGAAACTAGTAGAGAAAGAGTAGTCTTTTCAACAAATGGTTCTGGTAAAATGGGATATTTATATTAAAAAAGAATTTTGATATATATCTTATGCCATATATAAAAATGAATATAAGATGGGTCATTGCCCTGATGCAAAACCTAAAAGTTAAAAATTTCTAGAAAAATAAAGTGTTTTTAAATATTAAGTTAGGCAAAATTTCTTAGTTACAACAATGAAAGCATAACCCATAAAAAAATTATAAATTCCATTTCCTCTAAAAAACTTCTTCAAAAGATATACTTATGAGATGAAAAAACATGCAACCGACTGGATAAAATCATTCAAAATCACATGAAAGACTTACATCTAGAATATATAAGGAACTCTCAAAACTTAATAACAACCCAAAGTTAGTAGACAAAATATCCAGATATTTCATTAGAAAACATACAAATGGAAAATAAGCATGTGAAAAGGTGTTCAACTTCATTATTCATTAAGGAAACTTAATTTAAAACCACAATGAGAGATTTCACACCTATTAGAATTTAACCTAAGTTTAAAAATATTGTAATATTAGACATACACAAAAGTGAGAATGTGATGAGACTGGAATCTCACAAGTTGCAGATGGAAAACAGGATGGCAGCATCTTAAAAATTTAAACATGTGATCTATAGTCATTCCAGTCATAGGCTTTTACTCAAGAGAAATGAAAATAAGTCTCCATATAATAATTTGTACATGAGTGCTCATGAATTCATATGTCATATTCAAACACTGGAAAAGCACCAACTGTCAATCAACAGGTGAGGTATAGCCATACAATGGAGTACCACTCTGCAATAAAAAGAAATTAACCAATGATATTTAAAAATAATTTTTGCCAAGTAAAAAGCCAGCAAAAAGTACATACTTTATTATTCCATTTATATAAAATTCTAGAATATATTAAAGGACCTGTATTTTCATTAAGTGGCAGCATAGAGATGGGAGATAGGAAGAGAAGAATTAAAAAAGGTTAAAGGCAATGTGGATGGAGCTGAAAGGGTTGATGCTAATTGAAATAAGCTAGAAGGGAAAAGATAAATATTGGATGGTTTTACTTAATATGTGGAATATAGAGAAAGGACAAAGGATAAGGAAAAATAGAAAACTTGCAAACTAACCATAGATCTGAGGCATCCAGCGTGGGAGGGAGAGAGGAGGCTCAAAACAGGGGAGGGAAAAGCACAAGGGACTGTGGTGATGGATCTGGGTGCTATGGTGGTGGGAGAACTATGGGAACTACAACTGAGGGGAGAAATCAAATATTGTTCAAAATTAATGTTCATTATCTTAATTGGGAAATGTTTTCATGTATGTATCCATATGTCAGCACTTCTCAAATCTCACATTTAAATATGTGCAATTCATGTGTGAATTATACTTGAATAAATCTTTTTTTATGAAAGGTAGTTTCTCCATCACAGTACTACATTCCAACTGCTCAATAGTGACACAGAGCTGGTGGTCCCCACACTGGGCGTGCAGTTGTGGATTGCTTCCACTGTCACAGAAAGCTACATTGTCTGCCCTAGAGTCTTGGGAAGAGGCTTTCTGAGAACAGAATAGAGGAAGATAAAGTAGGGAACCTAAAAGGAGGAAAAAGGATCCCTGCTGAGAGAAGATTGTGCAATTTAGCAATCTTGTAATGCAGCTGAGTAACATGAGTTGTGGTGAGTCAGTCTCAGAACTTCTGGTTCTTTCTGTAATTTTTCAGTACCCACAAATCAGCATTTATAAGACACTCTTGACTTCTCACTAATGAAAAGTACAACCACTGCAGAAATAAGCTCAATTACTTTAGAGATTGTAAAATGGATACAGGAAGAATATGGGGCCTAAGATATAAGGAGAAAATTAAACTCCATATTGATATACTTTAAACAAACAGTGTTGCTATTAACACTATGAATGGATACTGGCAGGAAAATATTTACACATTCTCCCCAGGAACACAATTACAAGTTTCAAAGTCCTCATGCCAGGTGGCACTTAGCAAAAACCCGACTTGCTGTAAGATTAGGAATAGCTCAGCATTTCAATCTATGAGCAATTTTGATAAATCTAGATCGCTGGGCTGCAGATTTATTTTGATATGTAGTTTGCTTCCTTTCTTCACTTAATTGCGCACATTTACTTTCTGCTTGTCAGTATTATTTCCCATTACACCCAACATGGAAAGTTTCATTGAAATATTGCTACTTAAGGTCTCACTGGTGTCAGATATTGTTCGAGAGGCATATATTTTCTTAGTAGGGTCACACAGCTCATTTATTTATTCCCTCTCAGAGGGCACACTTCTCCCTGAACACTAGTGCTTATAAATTCCCCCCAATCACTGCTCTTTGTCATTGCCATTGGCTTCGTCTCTCAACACAATCATCAATTCAATAGCTCAGTCACCAATCCCTTGAGAAAAAAGGAAGAATAAATTATACCTCTAGTTCTAATATCTGCTTCTCATAAAAAATGCTCGGTGTCATTCATCAAGAATAAACATATTGGGATGTGAGAAGTGATATGTATATAAGGGTGAAAGGAAGTCAACAAGAACTAGATGATTATGATTTTGTCTTAATTAACATAAATCATAAACTTCAAAATTAAAGTTCTCAGGTTGTTTCAAAGCTCTGAGTCATTAGATAAGAATTCAATTAAAGGGTGAATCCTGCTCCTAAATTTAAAGACGAAATGGTGCTGGATTTTCTGCCTTTCATTTTCTGGGAATATGAATGTAAGAGAACTTGAATATATTCCTCCTTGTCTCTTCAGAGTCAATTAGAATTCTAGACTTGCCCGCATACTAATGATAGGCAGAACATTCTTTGACCTTGTCAAGTGAGGTGAAAGCTTTCTCCCCAATGGGAAGACATTAGGAAAACCTTAATCTATTTTTAACAAAATTAGTTAAAATTTAATACTAAAAGTATATTTGAATTGTATTACTGAAAAGTAGATTCAAATTTTTCCTGTGACTTTACTACTGACAGCAGGAGCAGTAAACACATAATAGTTTGTGAGGTATCTGAGGTGAAAATTTAAATATATATGTATAAATAATATTTATTGATTACTTACTAAGTCCTAGGCATTGTTATAAATACTTTATAAATATTAATTCATTAAATCCTTATACATTATTATTACACTTCAAAAAATAAGCAATATGAGGCACAGAGAGTCATCCAAAATCACAGCAGTAGTGGGAGGTAGAGGCAGGATGAGCAAAGGGCCAAAAAACATAAAGGATCAAATTTCTCTCTTTCTCTGTCTCTCTGTCTCTGTCTCTCTCTCTCTCTCTCTCACACACACACACACACACATACACTTTCCCTTCCATGACCATTATCCAGACTTTAATGGATCAAACCAGTTACTGACCTCAAATCAGATGTCTCTGATTTTTGTTGCCTGGATCTGTCTCAGAGCCCCTGACTCTATGCCTGTATCTTAGACTCTAGACCTTGCTTTGCTTCCCTAAGTCCAGAACAGCTGCCTACACCTCCCTTTGCAGGTCTCCCTGTACTTGACCTGGGCCTAAACCAGCTGACTGTTTGAAGGATGCTTAGACACACTCCTTCCTCACCACTAGACTTATTTTCTCCAGGAGCTTGGTTTGTCCCTTCATGGAAAATAATAGCATTATATCTGAACGATTTCTATTAACAGTTGTAGGATATAAATAAATACAGAAAAGAAATAAATCCAGAAGCTTCCAAAAATATCTTTGAAGAAGGAAAAAAAATGTAATGTAATCCTCAGTGACCAAGTTCTGTTCAACATTACCAAAATATCTTGGCATTATTCTTGAGACTCTACATCTGCTTTGTCACCTTTTTGGAAAAAAAAAACTAGAAATTTTGATAACTTGCCAACAGGTCTCACCCCCTCCAGGTTGACTTTCTTCTGATCCACGGCTCTAATAACTCAAATTCTTATGGATAAAAAGCAGGAAACACAAATGAGTGGCCAAGGCTCAGCATATCACATATGCAAACAGTGTAAATAATTGGTTAGCAGAAAGAAGAAAGTAGTTGACGCGACATAAGGGAACTATAAAACTGAGACTTTTATGTAAAAAAATTTGAATGTTGTCTTCTCCTTTTTCTCTTCTTGATTTAATAAATTTCCCCCTATGCCTGAACTATTTGAAGGTGAGTGTCTGTCAGGAGCAAACCAGGAGTCTGAGTCAGGTAATTCTTTAATGAGCTGTTTACATTCCTATCTTCCAAACTCAAGGGTGAGTTCTCAGGGTCAGGGACTCTGCTGATTCACCTCTGAATCCCTGGTGATGCAGTAGGACTGGCACCAAACTGGGATTTAATTATTTGCAAATGAATGGATAGATGGATAAATATAAATTCTTTGAAGATCTAAGAGCTGCGAAAGAAAATTCCAAAATAATAGGCAGTATGGATTTTGTTCTTGAAATTTTAGGAAAAGCTTACTGCAATAGATTTTTGTTTCTTTTTCATGCTCTAAATTCTTTCAAGGAAGGAAGACTTGCATCTCCTCAAAGCCTGTCATTCTTGTTGACACCTCCTGAGGAAGGGGGTGAAAGGTGTGGGGTGTCATCTAACACAGAAAGTCAATGTGTTCAAGTAGATTGAACTCAAATATGCTTTCTTAGGGTACATGATTACTCAGGGTAAACAGGAACATAATGACTAAGACTTCCCATATACAAGGACAAATCAAAGACGCTTTAGGACAAGACAAAATTAAAAAGCTTGCAGGTTGTTGTTTGAACGATGCCTTAGGTAACATTTGCAATTATTCCCCCTGCCATTGTCAGAGGCCACTGCCATGCCCACAGTTGTTCTTCCATTTTGTCCATTCATTCATTCATTCATTGCCTATAAGGAAATGCCTACTATATCCGATGACCTTGTATAGGTTGACCTTGGACAGTTACTGTTTGACACATCCAAAGGCTTCCACTGTATATGTGAGTAATAAATATCTTCTCCATTTCCTCTCTGAGTCCCACACCTTACACACCAGAAAAAATTGTTGATCACCTTTGGAAAGGTGCAGGCATGCAGCTTATTACAGTGGGAGGGCAGTTTTCAATCACCTGATTGAAATCTCTAACTTTAAAATGATGAAACCAATGTCCTAGCCACTCAAAGTTCAGTTAATGACTCTACCTGACCTACCTGACCTCGACTGGCAGTTCTGGGTATATTCACAGTACTGAACCTCTAATTGCAGTTTTGCAGTACTTGAGGTATAAAAACACCATTCCTCTAAAGGGCATTAGATGCATTAGCTTAATTAAAGCAGTTACTTCGCAAGTTATCGACTTTGGTTTTCAGACCTTGTTGTCAGGGGAGATAACCAGCTGGCCTAAAGCAGCCAAGTCATGAATCCTCTTTTTCCCCTATTCAGTACACACTTCAGAGCATTGCCCTGGGAGGTCAGCAGGCCCCTGCTCTCCGCACAACTCAGAAGTACTGGCAGCTGAGGCAATTCCTGCCTGAGCCTGCTGAATCTTAGAGGTGAGAAACAGAAGACTGCGTCCCAAACTGAGCTCATCGCTTAGCCCCTCAGTCACAAAGAAAGCCAGAAAGCAACTTGGAAGAACTTTATGAAAGCTTTTGTTTGCATGGAACCTGGAATCATAAGGCACCAAAAAAGACAGGGCTTCAAAGGCACCCTTTGTTGCTGCTTGAGGCATTTTCTTTCCATGGATGTTATGGACTCTTGTAATGCAAAATGGCAGCCAGGGAAATGTTATTGTCTAGCAAAAATGAGGGTACTCTGCAGTAAATCTAGATCTTGGTTCACCTATC